TTTTTACCATAAATTTCTTTATTCTGCTTATTTCTTCTTCCATTCACCACTAGTTTTCCCTAAAAGGATTTCTTTTGAAACTTACTGGCTAGGAAAGGGGAGAAAAGCTCAAGAAGTTTGGGCTTTCTCTGAATCGACGGTTCCATTACGCTGTTTGGTTGCAAAGCTTACTGCGGAACAGAACTGCGCTTTGTCGGCGCAATACACAGATATTACCGGCTGTTTGTCTGAGTAACGGATAACAAAAACTGATATTGGGGCACTTCAAACTGAATGCTGCGCTTTTACGCAAACTCTTGCTAAGCTTTTTCTACTGGCATTTCAGTGGCTAGGATTCGTTTAGCTGTTGGTAAGTTTCTTAAGACAATTAGCTTGAGACCTTCTCATTAGAAATACTATCTTTCTGTAGGGCATGGTAAATTCTATCCATTGCTTCAAGCAGTATTCATTCTTCGAATGTTTCTACACTACTTCAACGCCATCTACTGAATTACTGTGAACAAATTTAAATTCATTGCTTTCTTGGAAGGAAATAAAGCGTTTCCAACTTTTTGTCGAATGAAGTGGTGCAATATTAAACAAGTTGCTGCTAGCTGTTTGTTGCAGCTTTAGAGTAGCCTGGTAGGTTCATTATCTTACTCAAGTTTTCGCTTTTACACCGCATAGCCACCCAACAGATCAGAAGTTTAACGAACATGAAAAGATGGAAAGCTGAAGAAGCAAGAAAAGAGATGCTTTTTTATGCTAAACTGTGGAAGCACCAAGAACTAGCAATTTTACAACTCACACATCGGCAAAGGTAGTAATAGCTTTATCAATAGTTCAAAGCAAAAACCGAATTCTTTACGGAAATGACCGTTTAAAATCTGTAATTTATTCGACAAAAATTACTTTTTTTACTCGTTCTTTAAGTGATTCAGGTTGTCCTCGCTATACGATCTTAAAGCACTTCTTCAGCATCTGAAACCTTAACGGAAAGAGCACAACACAACTTTAATGCCTTCGAGTACAATTTTTCAAAACTTCTCAGTATTGAAGAAAAAAAATCATGACACGGGGAGTCTATTAGAGAATGCTTGTTCTACCCTTTTTTTTCTCTCTTCATATTCACCTTACTGTGTAACTAAGAATCGAGAGAAGAAATCAAACTAAATGATTATTGTTGCTGAGTGTTGAATTCAAAAGGAAAAAAATGTATAATCATGCAAAAGCATATTAGACCTTGATTTTTGAACCATTATCAACCAAGTTTGCAGCTGAGCAGCTCAAAAATGCCAAATGCAAATGGTGACTACTTACTCAATTTCGAAAATATTAATTATGCATTTGTTTAAGGTGCTACTTTTCTCCTTTCTCTCCTCTATCAACTAATGAAAGCTTTTATAAGTATACTGTCAAGTACGTTTGACATGCCGAAGTAGTTACATAACATGCGAAATAGCCAAGCAAGATCAAATGAAGTTTAATATGCCTTGTAAAAACTGGCTTGAAAATTGGTGCACCGTTAAGTTGACTGTTACAAATCACGTTAAAATTCTTTCTGTTTCATATATCAGCTGAATTGAGGACAGTGCAGTCATATACTTCAGCGCACAATCAAAATGAGAATAAAATTTGCTGTTATACTCAAAGCTACGTAGAGGAGTTATGCTTTTATAGTGTTATTTAGCTTAGAGATTGATAGTAGCTTAGAAGTGTAAAATAGATAGTGACCGTTTCTCTAATAAATTACCCATTAACACTTTTTTTTAGATGTTTGATAAAGTAGTTGGCGAACTTTGAGTAGTGTAGTTTCCTTCCAAACATATCAATTAATATACAATACTGCATTCATTTGGAAGTAAAATTTTAAGAATAAATTAAAGGTAATGATATATTGTCAACAAATGTTAATACTTCTAATTGCGACAACTTATGGAACCTGTTAAGAACCTCTCATATTACCTATGCTTTGACTGAGTAATTCAGTTCACATCCAGACAGCTAATTATTAAAATCACAATCGGCAGAAAAAAGAAAAATAAATTTGTTTATCTATTAATTTTTTCTCTTCGTTACGATGGGTCAATTACAGCCATTTTCTGGTTTAAAAATTGATATTTGTAAATTTTGAAAGTTGCTTCTGAATCTTAATAATAACGAATGATCTCTCTTTGCTTATACCAAATTTCAAAACTGAAGATTGCCTACAACAATAGTGTTTTCAGATTTTTTGCTAATGGCTTTAGCCTTTTTGGAGGCTGTTGTCGAAAAGATGTTATGATTGACAGTGGTGCCGCAGATGTTGCTCTTAATGCTGTACTGTTTAACCGCCGGTGTGGTGAATGTTCCAAAAGCTCGGAAATCAGTGAAATCCATCGAACTTGCAGCATTAAGACCGTATCCGTTGGCATTCCAGTACCTATACAAAATTGT